AAATAAACAATTCATGTATCTTTATTTTATAAAGTAAAGATAAAGTAACACCTCTACTTCAGGTAATTAAAATGCCTCACGTCCATGTCATTTCGTTTTTTTGTTGTTTGTAACTACTTTTGATATTCAATTTTAATTTTATTTCTAGTATAATAATGTTGAAAACCAAATATACTTACATGATAAGTGGTACTGGAGTGTGCAAGTTTTGTTTTGTATGCTTGCAATCAGTTTTGCTTCGTATTTATCGTTGACGAAATTACTTGTTTTTTTTTCCCCAGCGATGTATGTTTATGTAAATCAATGAAGCATGACATTTTCATCAGGTAGGTAGTTATTTTTCATGATTGCATTCTTCACCATATGTATTTCGTTCTTTCAATGTTTTTTCTTGTTTTTTGCCTTTCTTCACGTTTCGTGTTGTTACGATGAGAAAATATACACTGATATTTGTATATTCGAATGCATTACACTTGTATTTCGAAATATATTTCCCATGAGTAAACAAAATAGTTAATGAATGATTTTGTTTTAATTTTAATCGATGAAAATATATGTAAAAATGAATAATAGAGTCATCGACATCGTTTTAAAAATATTTGAGACATTTCATGAACTCCGTTCACATCATCAGCCAAAGAACAATTTATAAAACCAGACGGAAAATATCAATAGCAAAAAAAATTAACACCAAGTCATTGAACCGAAAGAATAACTCATTATATTCGATTTCGTTATAGATATTTAGTAACTGTTTGTATAAGTTGTTTTTTTTGAACTGATGATCTGAACGGAGGTTACGAATGGTCTCCTACATGATTACAATGATGTCTATGATTCTATCATTCATTACATTACAGAGTGTAAGAGTGTAGGCAACAGTCTTTTGTTTATGTTACGTCGGATATCTGTCGAACCCAGCAGTTTTTGACAATGTCTCTTATTATCTAAGTGGAAGCAATTTATACTTCATCGTTATGCTCATTTGGTGGCAAGACCAAATCTCTTTGAAATGTTTTTGCTTTGTTGACGTCTTTTGGTTCGTGTTAATATTGAAAAATAGATGTTTTACGTTACGCATGCAGCTTGACTTCCTTAAGTTGGATAGATCGTCTTGAATTACATGATAGTCTGAAGTTATAGATCTTTAATCTATATATGTATCTTAAAGTCTTTTTGAAATGTCGATTTCTAGATCTATATTCTATCACCCTTAATGAAACATACGACAAAGATATGAGAACAATAAAGAATAATCTACGAAATGAGCAAAAAATAAAATAAATAAATATTATTCACTTTTATCCAACAGAACGAATACTCTTGTTTCTATTGATATATATCTCTTATGTGAATCTGGTGACAAATAGAAGTGACTCGTGCACGTCTAAAATTAGTTTATTTATTTTCACTTTCACATATATATAAACATTTCTAATGTGAAAAGAGGATTGATGACATGGGCATTTTGAGTATTCCATTACCCTCACTCTAACTAAGGTGATGGTTTCTTATATTTATTTTTTTATATCGATGAACTATGAAGTTGAACTTGTCTCGAGCGATGAATAGACGAAAGAGTTCATCTTTTCTTTTCTGTAGTAAAAATTAAAAAATAACATCATCATTCAAGTATACGCTGGATGTCTTTACGAATATGAAAGTTTATCGAACAAAAAAAGTTATTGATGACTGCATGATTATATTGGATTTTTTCCTGCAATTGCAGATATCAAAAGCAAGAAAACTTCTATGACAGTTGCCTTTTTTTCTTCCATATTTATATATACATAAATTTCAGTGAGTAAAATCAATATGTAGGTAGAATATGTACAGAGATGGATACTGAAAAAAAGGCAAGGTTAGTTTTTTTCTTTCTTTTTGCTTGATTGCATCTCATCAAGATCATTTTCTCATTATCTGTCTTCCTGTTTTGTAACGAATCGATTAATGACGGTAGAGAACAAATTGTCAAGAGATCGAAAAAAGATATTCTTGGTACTTCTAGGCTTAAAAAAGAGAAAGTTCGCAACTCGGTTGCTTGGTTGTTAGTTGATGATACATTGATGATGATGCAGCCGATCTGGTTACATCTCTAAATAAACACAGTCGATAGGTTTCATATTTCAATCAGTTTATGCTACTAGCCGAAAACGAAAACATCTGTAGAGTTGAACCTAAAACGAAGTTCATACGGAGCAGTCTCTACTAAATGGTCAAGATGAACTGAAAAAGAAATTTGACGATTATCCAGAAATCAGCAACAAAAGTCATATGATAGACAATCCATCTATTTTGATTGATTTCTGAAGGAATAATGCGTCCACGTAGTATCGTCAACGAAAATTTCTATCAAGTCGAAGAACAGGGGTCAATATGGGATATCGATGTATGAAATGTATTATCATGTCTAAGCAAAGAACTCTAAATGCGAGATAATATGAGACACCATTAGATATATGTAGAACGTCATTTATTAACATATGCGAAACTACCACAAACATTCATTCTTGAATGAAGAATGATCGGTCTTCTATTGAGAAAATCTTCATATATTATTCGAACTTTAAAGTATTGGAAATTGTTCTAGAGAATAATGTCATTCAGATAGTTAAGTATACCGGGTGTCGGTGTGGATTTTTGCAAAAAGAAGACTCACATCCATCCACACCTTTCGATTGAATCATGCATCATAACGGAAATTTCAATTTAGAACAGGTGTGCAGCACTTTGCAAAATGAATAGTTGGGTGTGGGTGTGGGGTTTAAAAGAAGACAACACCCACATCCTGTCAAGTTCTCTATAAGACCAAATCATTTTTCTAGTTCAAGGTTATCATGCAAAATCAAGATCTAGTTCTTGGTCTATAATAGCCAATTAAGATATTTATTGCCTTTACTTGTCTTTTTGTAGTGGAGAAAAACTTGACTTTTCATCGCTACGTCATTATCATTTTATGGATGGTTTATGACAACCAGTTTCAATGAAGAAAAGGTTACCGATCACAAAATAGGTCACTATATATCAAACTTTGTCAGAAATTGGTCATAAGATATGGCTAAAAAATGCACTATTTGCGAGCTTTTGAATATGTAGACATGGTGTTCAAATGTGACTTACTTTGAAAACTACTGTCCATTTTTTAGACGGATTTCTGTAGAAAGTAGGTTATATCCTTACCATTAGTTCTAAGAATCATTTGAGATAAAATACAACAAATTCAATCAAGATGAAAATTTAACATAAAAAAAACAATAGTATCAGTTTATTGTATTTCACTATTGCTTGTTAAAAAATCATCCACTTTGTGATCTTTTAATTGTGGTCTAGCTTCATACGTTGTAATGACTACTTTAGATTTTACTTCCTATATATGAAAAAAATCATACAGAATCATATTGAAATATAACATTCACTTAGACCAAGATATTCACCACGAAGACCAATATAATAAATACGAGTTGTTTCATTACCGAAATTCGAAGGAAAATATAAAGATAAATGTGTTACACGTGAGAAATGTGATGGACTAAAATAGATATTTGATTAAAAATTTTTTCAAAAAATCAAGATATTTACTTGACTTGATAAGCTAATGTACCCGATGGATCATATGTAAGTGAAATTTCTTGATGAGCTTTTCCACGTGTATTATCAAAACGTAATTCAGGTAAATTACTCCATCTATTCATATATATATATATAAATCATCACTCCTACTTTATTGAAATAATTTATCCACATACAATTTACCTGTATTCGGATGTGATGGACCATTTTCACCAATAATACATAGGCCAATTATTTTTACAGCACCATTAAATGGTATACTGAAAAGTAATTCTTGTTCATCATCACTTTCAACTACCTTTCAAAAAAAAACCTATCTATAATATTTTATTTAATTAAATCAAATACAAAATATACTTTTGATCGGTCAAGTCGTTCTTCCCATGCTCGAAATACATCTTTATCTGAACCATCATGTTTTTCATTATAACATTGCAAATTATATTTATCAATTTTTGTATATAAATTCCATTGACCAACATTTGTTTCATCAACATGTTGACATGCATGTGAACATGAATGTTGCATAGTTTATCTGAATAGAATAAAGAAAAATAATTCCTTTCTTTTTGTGATATTTTTTATGGAACGATTTATTTTATATCATCAAGAAAAGAAATTACATAATGCACAGATGGACCAAACAACAACAACAACAACAACAACAACATTGTTTTATGTAGGTTCTTTATGTTTTTTTTGATGAAGTAATATACTACTTTCATCTCGTCGTCGTTTAGACATTGGATTTCTTGGATCATAAACAGTTAATAATTCAGCATTCGTATAAATATCTTGAACATTAGCTAATAATTCTTGAGACACAAAAGTATGTTTTAAAAATGGTGTTTGAACTTTATCAGCTATTTGTTCTGATTATGTTACATTTAAAGGTTCATTAATTTGTTCATCTTTAGCAGTATGAACTTTTACACGAAATCTTTCTAATAAATCAAGTGTCTAAAAATTAAATTCAAATTTTTTATTCAGTACAAAAAAAAATTGATGAACAAACTTGAGATTCTCTTGAAATTGAATGACTACTATGATGTTTTTTATTGTTTCGTCTTGTACCTGCCATTAATTCATCCATTAATGTAGTGGTACTTGAGATATCTGGTTGAATAGATGCAGGTGCAGCTAAATTTGAAATAAACTCATAAAAAATGATTGTCAGTTAAAAATAGGATGAACATCCTCATGCATCCTTGAAATATGAAATAGATCTTGGTAAGACCGAAAAAAATTTCAATACTTTCGAATGGATTTATCCGTTCAAACTGGAATTCTTAGGATATACTAAATATCATTAAGCAATACTTACGTTCTGTTTCTACTTGAACGACATTTTCTGATGATTTGGGTGTGGATGCTGATGATGACTATTTTGTTTGTTTTAATTCTTTTTTTAATCGTTCAATTTCAAGTTTAACATTTTCATTTCTATCAAAAAAAAGACAATACTAAATCAATCAAAGTATTTTTGTTGTATTTTATATTGACGATTTTGTTGACGAAATATCTTTTTGATTATCATCATCATCATCAATACCAAGTTGAAGTGTTTTTATTCTTTTCTTGCTGAGCTAATTTTTTTGCATTAAATTTTTGTCGTACTCGATCAAGTTCTTCTTTATCAAAATCTGCATCACTTTTTTCTTTTATTTTAAAATTTTGCTTTTCTATAGGTAATTCTTCATCACTTTCTTCATTATTTTCATTTAATACAACTGTATTTTTACTTAATGTTGAATCATTAGTTAAAACATGTGCACTTTTTCCCGTTTCTTTTTGTTTGAATGTCTATAAAACTATTAAATTAAGAAAGGAAAAAACAAAAAAAGACAAATGAAATATATCTATACCATTGAAATTTTTGTTATTTCTTCTTCATCTTCTTCAGCTTCATTTCCACATGAAAGAAGACCATAATTTTAATTATAAAAAAAAACAAAAACAAAGAATTTCAAATTCTTGTTTTAACTTCATAGAAAAATTCTACTTGAT